TTAACCAATAGTGAAACGGTCTCACCCAGATTGCACGACAGTGCAGATCCCAGGGCTTGATCCCTGGACCTACCCGTACCCCTGTCCAGCTACCCGTAGACCCCGTGAGCCTCAAACCCTCGACCTGTCCCACGTGCTCGTGGACAGGTGCAGAAAATTGCAATTCATCTGCTTTTCTGCATCTCTGCTTAAAACCCATGCACCTTCGGGCGCTTAATCCAATCCTCTTTGCTAGTGGGACCTGAAAGGGGAAAAGAAAAAGAGAAGTGTCAAGCTCATGGCCTCTCGATTTATCGACATGAGCGAGTGGCCCCTCTATTCGAATAACGCTCAGGCCAATGCTACAGACTACGAGTCTGCAGTAATTTGAGCTTCCCCTCACATCCTTTGTTCCGTGTCCGGTAACTGCTTGCAGTACCGATTTTCTGTGGGCCTGTGATTCACTCTGTTTGCCCATGCTTTGATAATCCAGCTGACAAGAAGGGAAAAAGACAGCACAAACAAGGGTCCGGAGGGGGGAAGAGGGGGGGAGGAGGGGGGGGCAGGGAAGGTGGGAGCTGGGGGGTAATTATGTAGCAGGCAGGTAACGTTTTTTCACGACTGTTGCTTTGTTTCTCTCCCAGTGAGGGGTGAAGCACGAAATGCAAAAAAGTTACCTCGTAGAAGTCTGGTTTTATCCTCAAAGCTTCTTCATACTTCTCCTCCGCCAGCTTATATTGTTGCTGTGCAGACTTGATGGCCTCTGCCGATCGCACCGTCTTGGCTGCTGCTGCTGCCGCAGGATCTTCGTCTTCATCAGTTGGCAATCGCTTTCTGGCTGAGCACATGTAGACATTTCCCCAGTTGAAAAGCGCAAGAGCGGCCTGAAGGATCCAAAGTCGAACAGCGAAAGGCGAAAAAATGCCCAACGTTGGACAAAAGAAGTGAAAAACAGAAACGAAGGAAAATAAAACAGGAGCAAGTGCATGCAAAAAGGACAGAAACCACACATGAAAATGAAAGTGAGATTGATTGGCAGGGGTACTGCAAACAGTGCAAAGCACAAGAATCAGAAATACACAGGGGACCTCTGTAGTTAGTCTATACCTTTCCCCCACATTCTTATAAGGGAGAAATTCTCTTCTGACTCCGAAGTTCTGAGTACACAAACTTCCAAGCGAAAACAAAATACCCACTTTCTAGTGTCTATGAGCAAGAAGTATGCAACCCGCTTTCTAGTGTCTATGAGCAAGGAGTACGCAATCTCTCAAGGCAAGGTGGCGAGGTAAACAGGAAAAGGCGGGAACATCCTGCATCGGGCATACTCGTGTCAGAGCTATCCATCCCTCCTCTGTGTTTTATAATCCCAACCTGCTGTTTTCACCCAAACACAAAGCACGATCGTTGTAGATGTATTTTCTATTTAAGCCAACTTGCAGTCCAATACAATGATAATGACCGTGCTGTTACGATCCTGGCCAACTTCGAAGCACACATTCAACAGAAAGTACAATGCCGTCCAATTGCAAAAAGAACTGAATGAACTTGAGAGGAGAGAGAGGGAAAGAAGAAGAAGAAGAAGAAGAAGAAGAAGAAGAAGAAGAAGAAGAAGAAGAAGAAGAAGAAGAAGAAGAAGAAGATGTGCAAGGAATAAAAGACAACCCAAAGCAGCTATGTCGCTGCTTGACTCGGTCCGCTATGCCTGACCCTGCCTCTAGCTGCCCTGGTGCAGCGTTACCCCAACCGGGGCCTTCCAGATGCAGCGCCCAACAAGGTGATGAAGA